GACCTATTCCTGCTGTTAGCGATCTACAAGGATAGCACAAAAACGCATGATTGCACCAGTAAGCCTAGCGCGTTGCAGCCTGGGTTACTGTCTGTTTATGCCTCCATCTCTTAGATACTCCTCGCTGTATAAAATTTTGCGAAGCATTAGCTCGAGGTGCAGCAGGATCGAGTAGTGAAGTGGCAAATGTTTCTGCCGGCTGCGCACTAAGCACTACTCTAGTCAGCCAGTCTTGAAATAAGCACATCATGTCCAGCCACTGCCTGCCCATTATCGGCTTTTAGAAAAGTAAAGGAGGAGACGCATCTTTTTTTGTATAACGTACGTTTTGAAGAAATTTATCACGGGCTTCCAATTTCAGAAAGCGCTCCTGAAGTCTACGTCATTCATCATCCTAACTGTCGTTTCATACCAGCTGCTATTTTGCGCCTCACGTTACCATCATTCTTCAGAAGTTTGTTTTTGTGTTCGTGCACTCCACCTCAGAACAAGCCCATCTGGCATATCGCGGATCCTATCAAGATGATGCAAAATATAACAAATTTCATTGCCAGAGGTTAGCAGGACCGTTCGGACACAGCAGACTAGCTCGCCTCATTCTTGAGGCGTGCCGACACGAGCAGAACATTTATATGTATGTGAGCAAATTGTACGCTGTATATTTCAAGCAGTTATGATACTTTTCGCTTAGGAAATTTGCAGAAATGCTTCGATTTAATATATAACTTAAGAATATGATGCAGGTAAAGGTTGATAAGATGAAGATAAATAGCTCTGCTCGAAATGAGGTCATCAAATATGCTGCCAGACCCGCCTCATGCTCCTCGCATGCATCCTATTTGTGTTTCTGTTATTTGCTGCCTCTGAATCGTTCAAGGTCTCCTCGGCTTCTGGAATGTTTCTGCAAATAACGGCCATTCAAATACTGCTTACTGCCATCTTGAATGCGCAGCCAATGAAATTGATGGATATGCGATGGGCGAAACAGTTCGAACCAAAATTTTATGAAAAGCCGGAAGCCGAAGTGTTCAGTGACTTTTAGTCTATTTCTACTCCTCTATTAATTTTGAACCCCCTTCACAACATTTCCAATTCTCGTGTCCGACTGGATTTTTATTCTGTTTTTATGCGTTCTTGTCGTGCAACACGATGAAAACTTTTATCTTTCCATGAGTGCGACCTAACTTGATTAATCAAGAACGCCCAATTTTTGCAGTTTTTCTACCAGAACAAATCAATGAACCGTGCAGCAGCAGGTTTACCCATTCTCTATCATTACAAGGGCATTTGTACTATTGATACATAAATTTTGCATGACAGTGTTTTATTTTTTCAGATCCTGAAAACGACAATGTGGAGATAACAACATCAGTTGGGTACAGCGCGCAAGGCATGAAAGATTTGGACGAAGTCCGTGTTTCATGCACTATTATGCGTTTTTGCCGTGCAGCA